ATTACTATATTTTTACGTTTTTATTATTAAATTATATAATATAAAGTGTACAGATATAAATTTTTAATTAAATTTAGACCGACGCGAAATTAAATCTTCTAATATAATCTTGATAATTCAGTTATGTCATCATCGTCATCCCAATTGAATTTAACGGCTGTGAATCATAGTCCGGTAAATCATGGTCCTTGGGCAGAAGTTCTTGAAAATTGGATTACTCTTCAATCCAACAATTCTCGTACTGCGCGAGCAATGAAAATTGGCGATAAGACTGTGACAGTATCGACTAAGGTTACCACAACAAATAAAAGAGATGTTTCTGAAACCGATCTTTATCTACTTGGTACAATTTATTTAAAAAATCTAAAAAAAATAAATTAGCTTTATTGTTTATGATAACATGATACTTTTATTCATTTATTTATAAATAATTAATGTGATTATACATTTTGTTAAAAAGATTATTAAAAGAATGAGATTTTCTTAAATCTCATTCTTTTTTTAAGAATGTTAAATCAAAATTTACATTTAGGTGCCATTGAAAAGTTGGTGTACAGAGTAGATTATCTAGAAAAACGAGTAAGAAGAGCAGAAGAACTATTATACTACGTTATTGCTGGTAACAACAAAAATGAAAGGTAAAATTGATATAAAAAAATCATTAATTTCATTATGACATGACAAATATTCAAAAATATATTTTCTACAAATATATTTTTCTACAAAATTATTTTTATTTCTTCATATATATATATATATATATATATATATATACATACTGTTCGTAATATTCAGAAAATCAATCAAATATTATAAAAACAAATAAATTTATTATTTAATGAATTATAAACATATATTTACAATATATATTTAATATATTATGTATTATTGCTATCGCTTTTTCAGAACCTTGTCCTGCCAATTATACGAGAATGGGCCAAAATTGTTATCACTTCAGTAATCGTGATTTTAATTGGAAATCATCAGCAAGTCTTTGCCGTGGTATGGGTGGACATTTGGTTGAATTCGACACAATCGAAGAAAGCCAAGATGTAATTACGGGTTTAATGTCGGACGCGAAATTGAAGGGCAAAAATTTCTGGACGGGAGGATTAAATCCAGGACTTTTATGGATCTGGGCCAGCAGTGCCAGACCAGTTCATCAAGATACTAAGCAGTCCGTCATTGGTGATGGCAGGTTGGTATTTCATTATTACAAATAAATTTATTTTGTATTTAAATAGTAATAGCATATATATAAAGAATTTGTATATAGAACGACAATTAATTCCTAATGTAGCAAAGTATGCTAAAAAGCATATGTTACTCTCTATTATATTAAACCAATATTTGCATTGTAAATATTTTGAATTACAGATGCTTAAAGTTAACTTTCAACGCATCGTCGAAAATTTACTCGTACAGAGGTGAAGATTGCGGCTCGAGGCAAAAATATATTTGTGAATTGACAGTTGATGATGAATCGACAAATAGGATTGAAAGAACAGCACGATTTTTAATTGATAAAAATGATTAGACATATTCTAATAACGTATAAAAATAGGATAATAAAATAGTCACAAAGAATTACATTTATTTATAAATATATATTTTTAATAATTTATATTACAAGAGAGTTTATTGATATAGTACAACCGCATTTTTAATTATAAATGTGATCTACTCTTTTTTCTTAATATTAATTTTGTTACGTTTGTATGTAATAAAAATAAAAATAAAATAAAAATATAAATAAAAATAAAAATTTAAGTAAACTATAATTAAGTAAGTAACAATTTAATCAAATTTTACATTATTTATAAATATTTTCATTGTCATGAGTAAATTGTTAATTTATAATATATAATTTTAACGTATCATATTACAGATTGAAATTTAAGAAATTTATATATACATTTTCACATTTCAATATTACTATATCATATAAGTATAAATTAATTTATTTTATAATAATTTTCACTCCTGATAAAAAAATGGAATGGAAGAGAATGTGTAGAATAGAAATAAATTAATTCAACTAACATAAAACACATTAATAAATAATTAAATAAATTAATTAAACAATAGAATAAATTAATTAAAGTATTAAGAAAAGAAGAATAAATGTAAAGAAACTAATTCAAGAAGTTAAACAATTAATACTTAACAACAAAAATAAAGAAAATAAAAGTGTGCGAAATTGTACAAAAGTGTACAATTTTTTTTCTTTTTAATTATAATTTTTACATTCAACTTCCCAAATTAATTATTACATTCCCAAATTAATTATTACATTTTAGAAAACAATTTTGTAGATGATATTACAGAATATTTTTTTCTCTTATAATCCTTGCGGTACGATGTGCCATCACTAAGCTACATTTGCCTTCGTTCACCATGGACAAAACGCGGTCAGTGCATGCCACTGAACCACCATTCTCGATGATTAATTTTTTTGCCATTATTATATCATCAGGTTTTACACCGCGACAAGAATTATCAATAACAGTTATAGAATAACCCAACCGCAGGCCATCTAAACACGTCTCTTTGACACATACGTCATATGCGAGACCACAAACATATATATGTGTAGCGCCAATGGATGATAAAATCTTTTCAAGCTTCGAGGAACCATCCGCTTCTTTTTCAAACGCTGAATATGATTCCTTATCTGAATGTTGACCCTTATATATCTTTAGAATAAAAAAAAGAATATTCCAATTAAATATATTAAATTTCTTTATATCAGATCATAAATAAATTATTAAAAAGTAATCATAGAAATTTATGTCTTTCCAAAAAAAAAATAATTTATGTATATTATAGAGAGGTAATTGTTATTAAATATCTGCAATTGCTTTATATGTAAGATAAAGTTGTACAATAAAATTATATTATATAGTTCTTAAAAGTCAGAGAATTTTTCTAATCTAATGTACCTAAACATTTGATAAGACTTTCTGAGAACATTATCTATTCTGAACAAAATTAATTTATTACCCGTTCCGAAGAAGATAATATCAGTAGATCTTTGTGTAACTCTGCGCCCCACGTGTTCATAACGCAATGTCTTGGCCAAAGTATTTGCTTTAAATAAGGTTGTGAAAAGACAACGGTGTCAAATGGTTTTGCTATTTCCTTAGTGACCTATTTATTATGTATATATATATATATATATATATATAAAATTATATAATTTTTACATAATTATTTAAATTCTTATTTTTAAATTCTTATTTACGTATTTTAGATAATTTAAAAGAATTTTTTGAATTTATTAAAAAAGGCTCAGTGCCGAAATGTTCAAGTTTTTGTTTGTCTATTGACATATTATTTTGATTTATTTTAATAAATATTTTTTCATAACATTAATACTTGTTTTACTCGTTTCATTAGCCTTATCTTTGATTTTTTTAATATTTATAATAAACAAGAAAAATATAACAAAACAATTAGCAATTTTAAAAAAAAATAAAACTAGAAGATTAGTACCTATTTTTCAGGATCTGAATTATTATATTAGATAAATATTTCATCGACGTACTTTAGATTCTGAATGAAGTTCGCGCATCGCCAAATTTTCAAAGAAGCTAATGTGATTGTGGGGATGCCAATCTTGCGAATATATCACTTTGTTCCAACGGCCATTGTTTAAAAGTCGATTTATCGGTTCTATCACTTCCGTTCCTTCCTGCCCATAACCGGCATTTCGAAGTGCCAACGTACCGTCGATAAAATCATTTTGCACATCGACAACTAACAAAACATTGACAGGATTTACAATCTCACGTATCCAATTACAGCATCTGAAATAATTATTTATTCTTATGGAAAATAATTTGGATTTTAAGCAATCATCTACTATTTGCGCGAAACAAAATATTCTTCAGCACATAAAATTCAACGAATGATTTTAGAAAAATATTTTAAATTATCGTACATATAATTCTACATAAAATAATTACTTAAAATATACATTATTTAAATATAAATAAATAAACAATATAAATAAATAAATTAATGATTATTCTTATCTAAAAAAACGTACAAAATTTTATCTATTCTTGATTAATTTAAAAATATAAAAAATAATAATAACAAAATAATATAAAATATTATAAAAATATTATATTAAAAAACAAAATAAATTTTATTTCAAAAAGTTATATTATTTACAAAATAGTGTGTATGTAAAATTTGAATTTGAATTTTTTTGTAAATTCAAATTTAATTTTATTCTTTCTAAGCGTATCTCGATCATATGCTTATCATATAATTATTATTAGAAATGATATGTATTTTAAATAATGCGCATTATTTCTAGCATAATTAAAAGTCAGTGAGATATTAAAATAAACAACATGAGATATTAAAATAAACAAAATCAGTTAAGTAAAACTTATGTATACATAGTCTACATAATGTATACATAGTCTACATAATGCAATATGAAATATATTAACATATTCTCCGATCAAATCAAATGATGCAAATAAAAATAATATTTGTTCATACAAAATTATATATACAAAAATATCGTGAATTAAAAACTTTCACAATAATTATACTAAAATAATTTGCTACCACTATTATTATTTTGCCGAAATATCAAGTTAAAATTAATTGCACAGCAAGTTATTAATATTTTTTAAAAAGTTAATATTTCAACATGTATTTTCTTAAATATGCTTCTATATTTACATATTATATTATAAATTTTACACAAAAACGTTTATCATTTATGAATATTTTCTTCGAGAAATTATGAATATTTTCTATCGGGAAATTATTTTCTTGATATAAGAAGACATAGGATATCAAAAAATCCGACCAAAGAGTTAAACAATCCATTTTTACGAGAATTAAAAAAAATTGATAAAACAAAATTAACAAAAATAAACATAAACAAAGAAAATAAAATATAAATTTAACCATTCCTAGATTAGATACTTTCAATGGTTCTTAATTAATTGCACACAATTGTTCTTAAACTTAAATCTATGTAAAAGTCGATTACTTCTAACAAACTATTTTCAAAACTTCATATATTCAAATATATGTTCTCTCTTCTTGATAAAATATCTTCAATCAACAAAAATTCAATATTGCAAGAACATAAACCTTTCGAATTATATATGTGAAAAAATTATTCCTGTTTTCAATTTTTCTTTTATTACACCTCTTTTTGCACCTTTTTCCCTTCATAAACTATCTAAAATATATTTGAGTTTTTGTAGAAGATTGCGCACGCGTCACCTGTGTAATTCCTGCTCGGTCAATACGTCGTCCGCATTCGCGTCGAACAGCTCGAAGACCTCGCGTACTCTCCATTCGTGCTTCTCGACCTCGTTCGTACCGAATATCTGAACACAGGTCTTTTGGAACGTCCCGTAATCCAATGCTTCTTTCACATCGATTCCATATTTCAACAGTATTGCCGCCGAGGACGGCCGAGCAGCGTTGCTTGCCGGCTGCGCCATGTGTGTAAAAATCTGTATCACGTTTTCTTCGCGTAAAATACGCTTGAGTTACACGTTATTTACGTCGGCACGATGATTGATCGACTGTCACAGTGCTTCGATTTTAGTAGTTCGTTTTATTCCTTATTTAGCTTGTAAAGGTGAAGTATTTGCATAAATATGCCGACCGATACGACTATCGATACGACGCGATGCCGACGCGATGCCGACGCGTCTTTATTTCACAGAAGTTTACACGACGAATGAACGAAAGTTGAAAGAAAGTTCCTAGGGACAAATACAATGTTCGCCCTTTCAGAAAACTTCTGACATTGATTTATTAGTCATAAACCAAAAGTTTCCAAACTCGCTTACGCCTTTGAAGAAGATTACACACATAACAAAATATTGTAGAAATTTCTATAAAATTATTTCATAAGTTATTTAACAATTATAAATTATTTAAATTTTTCTAAGGAAAGTAAAATATAAATTTTAATGTCTTTTATATTAGAATTTAGGAAAAAGAAGTCGCAATGAAATGTTATTTTTTTTCATAAACTTCATGCGTACATACATCCACACATACATTCATACACACGTATACACGAAAGAAGTAAATCCAGCCACGCAATTTAGTATTTCTTCCTAATAACCTTCAAATATATTTATATTTAAACATAACGTTAATGCCAACGATAACTTCGTAACTTCATAATTCAATTCTTAACAAAAAAGAATTTTATATTTTTTAATTACACTAATTTAAAATATTCCAATATTTGTAGCAAAATTTATAGTAAAATTTGTAATAAAAAACAGAAGTTTCTATTCAAAAATTTGGAAATACGTTTAAAATAATTTTTCTATTTAAAATTAAACAGACATTAATAAAATTTGATTTTCACCTGCAATTTTTTTTTATATAACCCATATTTTTTCAAATGTTTATAACAATTATGTTAAATATTTTACATCATCAATACTCTACATACTATACAATAATATAAATATATTGACTACAAATGTAATTTTATTAGACTGAAAAATTATATTTAACTATTGTATTATTAAGAAAGAAAGAATCATGAGAAACAATTTAGTTATTGGAAGTGAAATTTAAATATCATTATTGTTCGGAAACAAATTCTACTAAACAATATTCTACTATTATTATTACAATATTCTAAAACATAACATGTAGCTAAATTCCTATAAGTACAACAACTACACATAATCAATCATAATCTGTACATCTATAGATGTTTTGTTTGAAAGTTTTAGAAGAATACAATTTAATAATAAACGAGCCTTATTGATACTATAATAAAATGTTCATCCTTCTACATAAATTTAACATTTTCAATTTAATTATCATGTTTTTTCTAATACAAAATACACGTGCAAACATTTTTAATACTTTAATAAAATATTTTTTCTAACAACATTTTATGTTAAAATAATTATATATATCTGAGGCTTAAACAACTCACACAACAGCAATAAAATGATTGTTCTTCACAACGTAACAGTATAATACAACGTAATTACAGCAATGTTTTCTCGTCTCAGCACGACTGCAATCTGCTTTGCTCCTGTTTAGAAGACCACTCTTATAATGTCCGCACTGCCTTTGTACGACAATATATGTATATGTACGAATGATTACATTATACAGAAGCTATTCGCTTCACTGATTTTGAACTTAACAGCAGTGTTTAAAATAAAAATTGCCTCATCTTTTCAATATCCAACATATATACATTGATTATTATGATAATTGTTTTCATGTGTAACATACTTTGCTTAATACATTGTAAAAATATATATAACTAAATTGTCATCAGTTTTTATATTTATTTTACTAGTTTGATTATTAACCAATACTTTTGATTTTAAATCGCACTTTAATACTTTTTTTGTAAAAAAGAAGTTTATGCTGTCATAATTTTATTCATTAATTATGCCAATAAATAAAATTAAATTTATTAAAAATTCTTTTTATTCGTTGAATCACAAATAATTTTTCTGTCGTTTTACTACAAGAGAAAAATATATTTGTTAAAAGTTGACTACTTTACTACTTTACAGTAACTTTGTATTTTAATAAAAAAAGTTGCTCAATAAAATTTTTTTAATAAAACAAGTTTTACTTTTACTTTTTGATAAAACAAGTTATAATATCAGATAATGATTTGAATAAATGAAATTTGCTTTCGAATACGCATTAATGTTCCACACAATGACATTTTTTTGTTTCATAAAAATGTTAAATTCTACTAAAGATTAATATCTTTACTGTTTTAATTTGTAGAATCATTGTATACAGCCTACATATATTAGAAATTATATTTATAAATAATAATTTGAAATTACTCTTTATAATTCCATTTATCAACTATTTATCATATATTAAGAATTATTATTGTAAATTTTTTTTTAAATGTCTTCCAGGAAGTCGTAATAATTTTGTCTGTACATTTATAAAAATAATATTTTATATCTAAAATTATATTTTAAATCTTACTTGGAAGATTGAATTGATATAGTTACGCAAGATAAATGAGTTAATGAATAAGTTATATGCAACAATATAAAAAACATTCATTAAGTAATCTATGTATCACGAATAACAGATAAACGTTACGGTCCAACAATTGAGAATTGCAAAGTGAAACTACACTACAATGCACTACAAAACTATTATGGACTACATTTTCATGCATGAACAAATTGATTTGACCTTCAACAAATAATTAAGTAATTATCTTAGTAATAGGCTATAAAAATTAATTATTTTGTAATGTACTACATATTTATTATTTTGTAATATATTACGTATAATAATGCAATGCATGGTATATTACCTGAATTTTTCCTGATTTATTATTGGAACAATTAAATTATCGGTGACTCACTGCTAGGCCATCACAACAGATATTTATTAAAATGTAATTATTATATATATAAACAAATCGACTTTTTTGTTTACGTAAAAGTTAAAAGATTAACTTATCAGAATTTAATAATTTATCTTTCTCTTGTTCCTTTTATTTTTAATTAAATAAAATAATTGTAAAGTGAACAATGTATTTAAATGATTTACTATTATCTTACAACAATTATCTTACTCAATAGAAAATAAATTTTAATTTTCAAGATTTAATATTGATAATATTCAATTTTAACATTGAAGTTGAAATTAATTGGCAAAATATAAAATTTAATATAAAAAAATATTATAAACATTAATAAATAATTGTTTAAAGATAATTTCTTAAAACAACAGAGCTTGGTTAAATTATACAAAACTTTCAAACATCAACTAATTTAATTCATCTTATACTAACTTACTACAAAAAATGAAAGATGCAAGAAAATAAGTTTTTTATATTATTTGAGACACATATATTAAAATATTGTTATATTTATGAATAAAATAAGATGTTTTAAAAAAATAATTAATCGTATTAAAACAAAAAACATGAAAATTGTTAACAAATTGACAAAATCAAAATCTCTTATGTCTTTTAAAAATGTAATCCATGATCTACAATAGATATAGTAAATCTTAAATCTTATGTTCTAAGCAAAATAATTTCCAACAAAAAGCATTTCTTGAGCTGCTTTGACTAGATTTTAACTGTGAAGTCTAGGATTTAAGACAAACACAAAAATATTTTTTGCCAGAAATTACTCAACTTAGAACATAAAGTTTGTTACCACACCTATTGTAGATTGATTTAAGAGTTAGTGACTTTACACATATCTTTGAATTTCTATGAATTAAACTATACATAGAGGTATTAGTTAAAGTATACAGTCTAATACTTGCAGACTACCTATATGCTTTCCTATCCTACCAATACTAAACTATTTTTTTTTTTTTAATAAAATTTACAAGATCTAAAATGTAATTTTTGGTAATCGCTTTACTGAATTATAGATTAATCGTGGTAAACAAAATTAAGATGTGTAAATATATCATACAGATATTTTACATTCTATTTTAAATATTTTAAATAAGAAAATAATAATTATTACTTTAGAGTGATGTCAAAAAGTTATAAAATACATAAATTATTAATTTCTTATTTATGACCAATACTACGCATGAATGTTCGAATAACTTAAATAATAACATAACTTTATATCCGCATTTTTATATATTATCTATATCAAAACCTTATGTATTAAAATTATGCATAACATATAGTATAGCGTTTTTCATAGCTCATAATGTGCGCAATATGGTAATCTAACATTTAAAATTTCAATTGAGCTATCTGGAAAAATATTCTTCCAAATGTCCTTGTCCAAATGTCCCAATTATCCTTAAATTATAACTTTTGTTATTTCGAAACATTCACGTTGCGACATAACTTATCTCTTTCTTCGGTTATGTCAATGGCGATTTTATTAATGAAAGGATGTCTAATCTTTCCATTAATCGCAACGAAGAATTCGTCAAGTTCTCCCGGAATGTTGTCTCTTTTCTCATATTCGTATGCTTGCATCAGTAAGTCTAGCCTATCTAAATCTTTTACATACTGTGCTTCCGGAGATTCTTGTTTTTCATATTCCTAAATATGAAAAAAAGACAAAAATATTAATAATATATCAAAAAAATAGATTATAAAAATATTCTTACACGAAATATTTGTAGTATTTCAGGTCCTTTATCACCCAGCAGCTTACAAATATCCTCCATAGCTTTATCTTCCCTCCTATGTTTCTCATCTGGCGATATGCCGCAGTGAGGTGTTATATCTCCTACAATGCATTCGGCGAGATCATGAATTAACGTCATTTGCATTATTCTGTAAATCAGAAAATTATATACTATTAATCTTTTATAATTACTTACAAAATATATCTATATATTTATATAGTTATAATTACATTATTCAATTTTATAAAAGCAATTATAAAATTTCATATTATAGAAGAATACGATAGAATAATCTTACTTAGTTTTGTCTAAATTTTCTTTTCCATCCACTAGAAAAGATAACATCGCCATTCGATACATATGTCCAGCAATTGTTTCGGAATCAGGTATATTCCGTATTACCCATCCTGTCCTTTTCATATGCTAAAAATATGATTAGAGATAAATATAATATTTTCCTTCAAATTTTAAAGAAATAAAATAAATAAAAGAAATAAGAGAAATAAATTTCTTAACATAAAAAAATAAAAACAACAGAAAAATATATATCCATTAGAAAACATTATAAACTTTTTTATCTAAGATAAAACTAGAGATGAAAAAAAATTAACTTTTTCTTTAAAATTTTTTCTTTTTCTTTATTTTCAGACATTCTCATTATTTTATTTTTTAAAAATCTGAAAAATAATCCATTTTAAAATTTAATGTGACATTTCAGTACAATAAAGACATATCAAATATCAATAAAATTTCATCAAACAAAAGCATTATTATAGAGTTATGTTGATATTTCAGCAATATCTAATCTAACAACCTATTCACTTAATCGCATTATATTTATCTTGAACAAAATATAAAACAGAAAGTATGATAAACAGATCAATAAACAGATTGTATCATAATTATAAAAATCATAAACACTCATTAGTCAGCATAATTATAAATGTAAATAAACAGATAAAAAAATAACTTTCTACATGATGTTAACGAATTTTTTTCTCTTTTTTTAACTCATTTCAAATAATTTTTCTTCAATTATAATTAAATCTAGAATATCAAAAAAATGTTTTGTTAAAAGAAATATGTAATAAATTTGATATATTTTTATTATTTATTAAAATAAAGATTATAAAAATATTGTAAATATCTTTGTTAACATTAATTTGTAGCACATAAAGAATATTTATTCTAAATATCTATAAATTGTCGATCTTTGATGTGTTGTTCAAAGGTCAAACATATGTATATGTATACTTTTACACACATATATTTAAGGCCAAATATATATTGGACATTTTACAAATAATTTTTATATAATATTTTTATAATTATATATATATAT